AGAATAAATTATTATGTTAATTTTACTTATGGAAAGTTTTTCTAATCAATTTTAAAAAATTTACTCCTTTTTACTCTCTTTTTTCATTTACTTAATAAAATAATTATAAAATTTATTTGAATAACTTATCTTATCATTTCACATTTCTTTTAAGAATTACTTCAATCAACTGATAATTTATTTAAACATCTAAACAAATAAATAATTATCATTAAAAATATTCTTATAATTCATTTTTATACCAAATCATCAGTCTTAGTAACTATTAATATAAATATATATTTTAATTAATATAAATCGAGTTATAAAATATAAATAAATCAAAAATATAATAATATTATTATAATATAGAAGTAAGTATAATCTTTATTCTATTTATAAAAATGGAATTATGAGGACTTAGATGACTACAACTCTAAAATAATAATTATTTTTTAATATATAATGATTAAATGAAATTAATTAAAAAAATATTTTTTGAATATTAATAACATTTAAATTTTTTTCTCATATTTTCACTAATAATAAATATTATTTTTATTCATTTACATAATTTTTCACTTTTTTTTTCCTTCTCTACTTTCTATCTTCAATTTTTTTTCTTATATTTCCAGTTTCTTACTCCAACTTTTTTATATATCACACGTTACTCTTTTTTTTTCTTTACTATTTGTTCAGTTTGAAATTATTCTATTTTCCAATTTCATTGTACAACATAAAAATTATAATTTTTTTCTTTAATTTTTAAAATTTTATCTTTTAGAGATTCACCTTTATAAAATAAAAATTATAACTTTGTTTTAGTTTTTTCTCTTTTTTCAACAACATATCCCACAACATTTTTCTTAAAGTAATGAAACAAGAAGCAAATTTATTTAATTTTATTGTTGTTATTTATTATTGTAGCAAATTAACATACGTAGGGTAGTAATATTGATATAATTTTTTTATTTGCTATAAATTAGTTTATTGTTTCAATATTTTATGATACTTTATTTTATAAAATGTGAGAAAAAATGTTGAACTTTAGAGATATATGATAAGAAAACTATAAATTCATTTTTCAATAGATGATAGATGATGAAATAGGCATAATTATGTCATAAATTAATAGAAACTGGAAAATTAAATATACATCATTTGATTGATAGATTGATATAACTTATTTTGACTCTTGATACATCAATAGAATGTGCGTTTTCAATTATGGAGATTATTAAAATAAGGTTTGAGACTAAAATGGAAGATGATTTTCTTACTTCTTACATGATTGTATAAGTTGAAAAAGGAAATGAGTTTATTCTGTTAGATATTTAATCTAGTATTTGGAGCACCAAATATATAAAATAGATTTTAAAAATATTAAAACTATGATTCATACTAAATATTTTGAAGAGTAAAATCGAAATATAGTATCGAACAAGTAGGTGTAAATGTTGAATTCTATAGTCGTGAACTTAATGGAGTAAGTTATAGTGATTCCACTACAGTGAAAAAATATGTTGGATGTGCTCAATTGAGTGAAATTTTTGAATTAAATCATGCTACTTTGAAATTAGATGGTGTTTTTCGTAGTAGTCTAAGGGATTGATTTATTTTTAGGCATGCTTCATTTATTTTGCTGTTCTTTTTTGAGCACATTTGGCATGGTGCTAGAAATTTGTTCAGAGATATTTTTACTAGTATCGACCCAGATTTAGATACTCAAGCAGAATTTGGAGTATTCCAAAAACTTGGAGATCCAACTACGAGAAGACAAGTATTATAACATTCTTTTATGCTTTTTTTTATGATATTGAATTTCACATAACTAGATAAATCTTTTTGAATCATTGCATTTGTTCTTCTTTTCTCTTTTTCTTTTTTATTTTAGAAATGAACCTCAATAAACAAGTATGAAAGCTATATATAGTAAACCACGATCAAATATATGAAAGCATTGGTTTATACATTTCTCCTAGTCTCAACTTTAGGAATTATTTTGTTCGTTATTTTTTTTAGAGAACCTGTTAAAGTTCCAACGAAAAACTTAAATAATTTTTTATTATCTTAATTTTTTTTATTAGCTTAATTGAAGTAATGAGCTTGGAATACGAAGGTCTCAGTTACTTCAACTAGTCTTCATGTTCTTCAAATGGATCTCTTAGTTGTTGCGAGGGTTGCCCACAGACAATATATAAGACATACCGAGTAAAACTTACAAGTAAACAAAATGTAGAGATGACAATTAAGGTTGTTGTTTCCATTTTTCTAATTATAAAGTTTTCATATCACAATAGATTTATAGGATAAAATTCTTATATTTATAGTCGAATGGTATACAAAGTCAACATATCTAAATGAATAAAAAATAGTATTTATGGTTATGCAAACAGTTGGGAATAATTCGAGATTTAGTCTAAGACGAATCGTTGTAGGGAATTTACTTGAAACCTTTAAATTTAGAATATGATAAAGTAGCATCGGGATGAGGAACTACTCCTTTGATGGATATTGCAATGACTAGCTATTTATAATATTTCTATCTATTATTTTAGAGATTTATAATTCATCCATTTTATTGAAAAAAATTCTATGAATTAAATTTATAAGAATAGAGTAATTAGTTTTTCAGTAGAAAGTGAAACTTTTAGGTTTTTTATTGTTTGTTAATTTATTCCATTTTGATTTGGTAGTTTGATCGTATAAATTTTTTTGTTTTTGTATTTTTGGAATACGAGTGTTTGACTTGTTTTAATTGGTCCTATTGAAAATAAAGAACATAAAATGAGTTTTTCATCTTGATAGATATGGGTTTATTTTGGCAGATATTTAATCTGCAACATGGAAATACAAAATAGATTTTAGAAATTATCATGTGTTTTAGGTACAATAAATAAATAAATAAATATATATATATATATATATATATTAATAAATATACTGATTATAAATTTTAATAATTTTATATTATTTATTTTTATATTAATTTTATATGAAGGTTCCTGATTTAAATTTTTTTTAATCATTTCTAATATATATATATATATATATATATATATATATATAAAATAATGTTGTACAATAAATAAAGAAAAAACCGATATGACTTTTAACCATGTATATTAATATTTAATGTTGTAATATAAATATTAATATGAAACTTTACATTAGATAAATTTAAAAAAGAAATATTGCGTAATGTATATGCGAAAAGATAAACAAATTTAACATTTTGAATTAAGTGTAGTTAATTTGTGTAATATATTTACCCAAAACCCGTTTTCTTTTTTTATATGGTCACGCCCTATTTTCTATTTTACATTCAATTATTGATATTAGTTGCTCATCAATTTGAGTTCAAAATTTCCATAGAAAAAATTGTTGTTAGTATTTTTTTTTTTTATGCACATATGTATATCTCTGTATGAATGGACATAAATATATAGGATACAATTAAATTTAGCATACAATTTAATTAAGATATATTATATATCTGTCAATATATACCTTAGTCTGATCATATATATCTAAACTTGTGAATTTGAAAAAAATTGATGAATATTTATATGACATTTATCCTCTGTATATTAGCAAATGGAAAAAAAAAACAAGAAAAGTGTGTAAATTTATGAAATTAAAAATATATCTGCACTTGATTTCAATGAACCGAGTATTATAAATTTAAATTATTATTTTTAAATATTAAATAAAAAAATTGCGTAGTCTCCATATCGTCTGCTTCTTCTTTTCTAAAATACATGTTTCGTGATTTTTTATATGATTGAATAATTTTATTTTATCGTTAATGTTATTACATGATTGAAGGATTTTTTTTTATTCATCAGTCACAGTGATTATTACTTCAATTAGTATTCGTACATACGAATAATAATGTAGTGTAGGTTAGGGGGAACTAGGGATATTCGGCGAAAAGCAGAAAATATTAAAGAATTAAGATATGTTTATTAAAATAATATAAATAGACGAAGATCTCAAATTATATATTTTTTTTTATTTATTACACTTTATCTTGAAATTGGATTCTTTACCAGGAGTATTTTTTGTAGCTTTAAGTAGCCAAAGGGTTTGACCATTAAATTTAGATCATGGATGGTTGAGTAATAAATCAAAGGGTTTTTCTTTATTCTTTTTCTTATGATATAAATCATGGCTAAGAGTACCTTATATATTTTTAAAGAGTCTCTAGACAACTTTTACTGTATAATTTGTGGGATGCTATCTTGTTTTTCGTATGGGTTGGAAATCTCTTGTACTGATCTTCTAATATAATTTTATATTTTGACTGCAAAATGAAGAAAATAAAAGACTTAAAATCACATCAAGGTTTCAGGATCACTGTGACTCTAACTGTAGTTGTAATTGTCTATAATTTCTCATATTATAAAAGAAATGAGGATGGAATTTTAACTAGATCCTAATTTAAACAATGTTAGCATCATGAATTATTTCTTAGAGAATTTTGGGTGCACATGATAATCATTAAATACATTTCCATGGATGTATATTATTATACAAGAAAAACTCTCTATCAGCTGAACTTGCTTAGCTCAACAAATTCTCATAAGGCTTTAACAGAGATAGCTAGCAATTACAGAATGAATACCTGTGTGGTCTTCGAGTAAAAGGTAATCAACTAGCTTTGCATGCTGTCATTAGTATGGAATTTCCCTGAAAAACTAGTCAAATAAGTAATGGCCGTGTTTGGAAATGAAACGAATTCAACTCATATTTTTGCTTTTGTCAGTTGAATCCAAGAGTTCCCCCAAACACTTCATCAAGTAAGGCTGCCCATCATATATGAAGCATTCAGAGGAACTCCGAGAGACAGCCAACAGAAAATCCCTGAAACGCTTCCCAACTACTTGTCTTGGATGCTCAAAGGCTTAGTAATTGTTGTATTTATATATGTGGGGGAGAATTTCACGTTCATTGTTAAACAAAATAAATGTAAATTTTATGTGGACATAGAGAATTCCACGTAGTGAAGGTATTTTATTTTACTCTGAACCTGGTCCGGATGTTTGGCAAGAAGGGGTTATGGAGTTAGTGATAGAGTGGGCTTCTTGCTGCTAAAGAAATTCTAAAGTTAACATAACAGTAAGATCCTTCTTCTTCCAAGTCATTTTCATAAATAGGAATTTTTTTGGTAAGCTTAAATGTTAATTTTAATATTTTAATTTATCAGTTTTTATTAAAAGTTTAGAGTTAATAATAGATAGACGTATCAAGTCAATATAATCTAATCGAGCAATGAATATACAATAATAATTTTCATGAACTATTGTGAAAAAGGAAGGACTAAGATAATTTTAATAACATCGAGTACTTACCTTGATGTGATCGAATGAAAAGAGCATACTATTTTTAACATGGTCTAATAAGTGTGTTTAATAACAAAAACATGTTAAAAGAACTTTGGATAAAAGTTATACAATGTGTTATTTATGTTCAAAATTAGGGTCTCCTACAAAATTAAATGATCCAACTCCTCAAGAGATATGGAATGGACAAAACTCATTTATGACATATTTTAAAGTGTTCGGTAATATGACATATATATAGAAAATATGTTTTTATTGAATATGACTACGAGACTTTATTAGACCCTTTAAGGTTGTTATAAGTCATGATGTTCAAATTGATAAAACAAGTTAGTGGAATTAAGTGACTCATTGGAGGAAATCAATGGAAGTAGTGAATTATCGATCGTTATAATAAAATCAATAAATTATAGACCTATGAATGATGAAGATGAACTACAACAATGAGTTGTAATCCAGTTTCAACATCAATGAAATTAGATACAAAACTTTCATTATTTGATGAGAGAAACTGAGATGATACTAACAAATATTGAAGCTTAGTGGGAAGCTTTCAATATCTCATGTGCACAAGATCAAATCTTTTATTCAAAGTTGGTATTATAAGTCGATATAAGGAAGAATCAAACATTCTCATTAAACATTATTAAAGTGAATGTTGTAGTATATCCGAAAAATATACCTGTTTTATTCGAGGTTGAAAAATTACAAGTTGGTTAAATATTCAATTAACTACTAGTGTGGAGACCTAGATAATCGAAAAAGAATATCAAAATATGAGTAACACGACTTTTACATTATTTTTATAAAAAATAACCAATTATAACACTTTCGATATAAGAAACTGAATATATTAAGTATGTTAGATCAACATTAACTCAACACAATTGTGATACGAGTTAATAACAAGTTAGTTATTGAACTGACAAAGAAGACGGTTAATCATAAAAGGAGTAATCATCTTGATGTTCATTTTTATTTCATCTAAAACCATTTAAAGGAATAAAATGTAGAGATGTGTATGTAATAAATCAAAATCAAATTGCATGTATTTTCATAAAATGATTAGCAAGACTAATTATAATAACTTCATAGGAGTCTTTTATAAAAGGTGGAGAATAATCGATTATTTTTTATGTCTTTTTTATTATGTATAGTTAATAAAATTTAAGATTTATAACTAAAAGGTGAATTTCTAATTTATAAATTCACTGTCGTATTCTTATTGAGGTGTAGGGAAATTTTTTTTGAAGAAACCTTTCTAGTTACTAATGAACTTTAAGGCTATTGCAAACATAATAAAAGGTGATATTTTTTTTAACGCATAAGAGCTGATCTAAAGTATTTGGAAAAAGGGAATTGATGTAAAATCAACAGGGAATCTGATGTCATAAATAAAGTTAAACTTTTATATTATGATAAAATAAAATGTTATTATTGATGACTTTCAACATGTTATAAATTATAAAAGTAAATGAACTTATAGTTGGATAAATTTTTTACTTGGTGCAAGACTATCCAATACATGTTTGGTACGCCAATAAAAGAAAAAAGTTACATTATATTGTTCTTAAGAATTTATATGGAATTATATTGGATAAGGATTGATGAAATTAATTCCAACTGAGTTGAAAAAAAATCTTTAATTGAGTTATCGCAATTGTTTTAGACCACGAGGTTAAGTTGAGTTGAGATAAGATTTTAATTTTTTTTTTAAGTTTGTAGTTTCAAAATAATATTTATGAATTTTGTAGATTTTTTTTTAGAAAATAGATTATAATAATTAATATTTAAATAATTTAATATTGAAAAACTACATGAGTTAATAGGATAATTAATTAAATTAAATAATATTTATATTATTATATTATGATAAGTTTGGGATCAACCAGTAAAAAGTGACGTAATAATGAGAAATTAGTGAAACTAGGTTGAATTCAATATAACACAATTTCAAATAAAACTAAACACAACTTGTTTGGATTTCGGGAGTTGTTTTTCTTATATCTCAATAACACCTATGATATATCTTGTACGTATGTTATGCTAATTGTATTAGAGTTAAATTTTGATGTAAATAGTGTTATTTTGAAATTCTAATTCGTTCCACTTTTATTTTATAAATTAAAAATAATTTAATATGAGTCAACTCTTGAAACTATATTTGAAACTCGTACCAGAACACATTCATTCTCTTCTACTACCGTAAATATATAGGGATGATAACTTGGGATTACCGTCCCATTTTGCCGGTGAAACGCGGGTTTTTTCCGATAACGTTTGCGAACTTTGTCTGGCTTGTATTACATAAGAAAATACAAATAACAGAGAGTAGGAAGAAGGAGAATGAAATTTTGGAATAGTGACAGCGCAAGTAGTATGTGCGGCTACAACTTTATACTTCTCCCTGTTCTTTTCCCCTTTCACCTGCTCAATTACAAGTTGAGCTCCCTCCTATTTTCTCTTCCCTGTGCCCTAGCAGAGCAGAATGGCTCCTACTATTCTTCTTTCTGTCTCTGACTTTTATTCTCCCGTCTGATCTATTCAAGAATCTCTAGTATAACAGCTACAAAGCGATCAGAGAAAGAATACATGTGGTTTTCATGGACAAGGTATATGCTAATAATACTGGGAATATAAGTTGGGCAGAGGAGCAATGTTGTTTATGAATGAAATGAAATTGGTTGATTTGTTGGCTGAGCCCAAGAGTTCCCCCAAACACTTCACTGATAAGGGCTCTACATTACCTAGCCCTTCTTCACATGAAGCATTCAGAGGAACTCCAGGAGACAGCCAACAGAAAATATTAGTTCTACATGCTTCTTTACTTCTTGATCTTGTTGTATTTATGGTGGAGATTTCCATCATCATTGATAAAAAAAAATAAAAAAATTTATGTGGACATGGAAAGTTCAACGCAATGAAGGTGCTTTCTTTCTCTGAACCTGGTCAGGATGTACGCCAAGAAGGAAAGTCTGTGGCGGAGTGGGCTCGTTGATGCTAAAGTGATTCAATACATATATGTAAAGCTAACATAGATCCTTTCTTGCCCTTCCACTCATACTCTCTAGGGCTATTCATAAGAAAAGATAAAATTATTCTTATTCTCCTTTCTGCATTCAATTCCAATTAAGTCAATCACTCATCACTCGTTACAAATATCCAATTATGCCTATTTGATAATATTGGTCAACTCTTTTATGTTACTATGAGAACTTTTCTTGTCAGTTATACGCATTTTCTTTTCGTTTTCATCTCTCTCACAATATATACTCTATTTCAAAAAGTGTGAAAAAAATTGCTTTTTAAAATTTATTTACGATTTCATTTCAATAACCAATCTTGATAGTTACATATATTTATTCATTTCATTTCCTTCACTAACCATTTTGTACCTTTCAGTTTGCTACGCTGGTTTTATTTCACCGTGCTCGTCTTCTCCGTTTGTCCCCGCCGTTTGAATTATTTCTAGGTAAAATGTCTGTTCTTTATTATGTGTATGCTACGTCTTTATATATTTTTGGTTTAGGGTTTTTATTATTATTATTATTATTATTATTATTATTATTATTATTTAGATTTGAAAGGATTGGATTTGGTTTAAATGATTTGAGAAGATTTGAAAAGAAAATTTTGAGTGAGAAAAAAGCGTGTGATTTGAATGGATTGAGAGTATAAAGAGAGATTGTTAAAAAAATGTTTATATTTTAAAAGATACACCTAAGAGTAATTTTGAATTATACTAAAAATCCATTACCCCCTTATCTGAGTCTTCCAACAAGCCCAGGGTTACGATGCTCTGTAGAGTTACACCTTTATCTGAGTCTTCCATGTATATATATTATGTACCTATTTTGGCATAGTATCGTCGTCCAACATGTTTATTTCTTTTATTACAAAATCTCTAAAGAACCTCCTTGTTTAGAACATTTCAAAGATAAATTCACGAAGCTCTATGATACCACAAACAATTCTCCACTACTAGATGGTTATCCTCGACTCCAAAACCACAAATCCAAGCCGATAGAACAAATAGATACCTACAATACCAAGCATTACTAAAAGCTCCAGCAACATAACGATGTTTGATAGGATGTTTAAAACCGAATGAATAAAGAAAAATCAAAATCCTGATAAAAAAAACCAAAAATCCATAAAAACTAATTTTTGTTTGAATTTTTTGGATTAAAAGTTATAAAAAATTCGCTTCTATTCTTGGTTTGACTATTGTTGAAATAGGTGCCACAATTCAGCTTAGTATAGTCCTCAACTAAAAAATTTCATACTCTAATCGGATTTATATTTAAAATTCATCATTTTTAGTCAAGTTTGATCCATATTTAAAATTTATCATCATTTTTAGTCGAGTTTGATCCCACTTTAAGTTAATGATCAATATGAACTTAATTAAAAAATAAAAAATTATTTAAATAAAAATAAAAAATATATTAATAAAATTAGTTTTTATATGAGGATTTAATGCATAAGAAAATCCATTCAATTTCAAAATAAAAGTTAAAAACTTATTTTTTATTGTCATTTTTTTTAGTAATTTAATGGTAAAATAATAATTAATCTTAACTATTAGATATTGAAATAAGTGGTTGATATTGATTTATTCTTAGAAAATTGAATATCTTATCAAATTAATTTATAATACATATATGTATTTTTTAATAAAAAAGTATCACTTTAACTTTTATTTAAAAATAATTATTATTCTATCAAATGGACCATCTTATAAGCGTTTAGATTAATCTGGGCTAACTCATGTAGGTTATAATTTAAATGAGTTGATCCAAAACAGACTTGATCCAATTTAGGTCACAAATTTTTTAAGACTGTTGCTTCCTACACCCCCCATACTTTCTTTCTGCACCCTATACTTAAATTAAACTCCATTTTACCCTTAGACTTTTCTTCATCTTCATTTGCAGAATGTATTTTAGATCGACCTTTTCGAAAACACATTAATTCCAGAATACCCAATCCGGAATGCATTTCTAGAAAGGTTTTTCTAGAAATGCATTCGAGAAAACCCAATTCGAATGTGTTTCGAAAAGGCCTTATCGAAATGCATTCCAAAACACCCATTCCGAATAAGTTTTTTAAAAAACCTTTTTGAAAATATATTATGAAACACCCAATTCGAAATGTATTTATAAAAAAACTTTTCCAGCAATGCATTCCAGAACATTGAATCCATAATGTATTTCTGGAAAAGTCAATTTGGAATGCATTTTTGGATTGATCTGTCCGAAAACACATTACAAAACACCCAATCCGAAATGTATTTTTGAAATAGTTTTTTCAGAATTCAACTTTTTTTTCACGATATTGTTCCATATTGAGCAATTTATGTCTATTTATGCAATTTAAGTGCGAGGAATATGTAATTCATACTTAATATTAATAATTACTTATTTTTAATTGTTAGAAAATGCCTTCAATGGAGGTAATAGTACCAAAAAAATCAAATAGTCAAGGGATGAAAGTGCTAAAAGATGAATGTGTAGAAGTTATACACAAATTATAAAAGAAGTTAGGGTAAAAAACAAAATCATGGAAAATGGAGGTGTAGAGAGAATTTATGGGAACACAAGAAGCAAAATTTAACCTAGCCTATTTCTTGGATAATAAAGCACGAGCATTCAAATTCCAATTATTTAAATCTATGCCAATAAAATAAAATAGACCATAACCATCAAACTTCCAATTATGAAATTTTATTCCAAAGAAACTTAGAAGCATGAGAAAGAAACACAAAATTTTTTATAACAACTTGTGCAACATGATAATAAAATATGTTAAGATAATGCATTTCTTTTATGATAATAAATTTTTTATGACTCAGAATATTAGTTATTATTTTATTTGATATAAAATATGTAATTTAATTTAACATTTAATTTTAATTTCTTATAATTTTGAATATATATATATATATATATATATATATATATATATATATTATTGAATATGAAAACATATCTTTATTTATTTAACATATTTTACCCCAAAATCATCCAAACCAAATGGTAAAATATTAGTTTGATTTAGTTCTTTTTTTTTTTAAATTAAAACCGAACTAAACTATTTATGTTTTTTATAAAACCGAACCAAATACTTGACAACCAGTGTCATTAAAGTTGCAATACGGAGCAATAGATATGCATATGTACATATAAGTATATATTTTTTCTCTTCATCTTAAAAATTTGTGATGCCTATATATTATCTAGGGAATATTTTTAAATCAAATGACACTATCGAGGAAAGGAAAGAAATGACACTAAGGAGGTAGAGAATGCCGCAAGTGAAGATAGGCAAGCAATATTCCTCAACCGCAACAGGATGCCAATCAACCTCAACGGGAGATGAAGAGGAGAAAGAAGAGTTGCAATTAAGAAAAAGAAAACCTACAAAACACCAAGAAACAAGACTTGTTGGAGTCATTGAGCAAACTTATAGTTGGGTGGACACTTCTCATGACATTCAGAATTGTTTAAGTAAAATTACTGATATTGGCATTTATGGCAAAAACCGAGCAAGAGAAGCACGATCTTCGAAGAAGAAATACACACAGACTTTGAAAGACGCCAAGAACGAGATTGAAAGAAGAGGTCGAACAACTTGAAAAGAAAAACCCGGAGTTCAAGATGAAAGCGAAGACCGACCTAGAGTGAGTATAAGGTTCAAAAGGAGGATATTGAGAAACATGTTTTGGAAGTAGAAGCAAGGAAAGATGAGAAGGTCACCTCGCAAGAGGCAAAAGAAGCTGTAAAAAATGAGATAGGCAAGACTATGTATGAAGTCGGGTTTTTGGGTGCCCTCTCAGCCCTAGATCCATAAAAGTGGTGGTAGATGCCAAGATCGTTGACCAAGAATAAGGAAATGACATAATTTCTTTTTTGTTAAACCTTATGAAATGCTGATGTTTTTTGAACGGTTTTCACCATATAACAATCTTACCACCAATCAGGAAAATTATATATTGAGGTTTATCTTCTACTGTATTTCGTAAATGGCTTTCACAATGTAAACGGCTTATTTAAGGCATATTACCATGTACTACAAGGAGATAGAGACAGAATAGCAATGCTGTTTGAGAATGAAAAGACATAGGTTTTTCAGTTGTTGGTTGAGCCCAAGAGTTCCCCCAAACACTTCGTTGAAGAGGTGCTTATAACGTCTACACTAGTAGCCCTTCACTTCAGATGAAGCGTTCAGAGGAACTCCAGGGGACAGTCAACAGAAACTACATATCCCTGAATTATCATTCATACGCTTGTGTTGGACACACAAAGGCACAGCAACTGTGGTATTTATGGTAGAGATTTGCATGTTCATTTACCAAAATAAATATATATTTTATGTGGACAAAAAGAGTTCAACGCAATGAAGGTGCTTTTTTTTGGCTGAACCTGGTCAGGATGTTCGCCAAGAAGGAGAGTGATTGATTGAGTGGGTAAGATGCTTGCTTGCCCTTCCAAGTCATTGTCATATAGTCAAGCTGGGGCAAACATAACAGGTGATCTTAGGCATTGTGTTTTTCACAACATATTGCTTAACTGACATTTTTTCATTATTTGTAATTCTAAAAAGAATCGTTCCTCGGTTAATCATGTGTTGGATGATGAGCTCCATTGTGATGAATCGGCTAAAACAAACTTCATGCATATGCTTCAAACGGTCAATTACAAAGTTTGGACTACAAAAACTACTTCATCATTGATTTTATTGGTTGTGACCATTCTAAGGACGCTAATTAGGTTAATGTACTTTTATTTGTTCTTCGGCTTGGGTGAATATTTTGTATTGGAGGTTTGTTTGGTGTTTGCTCTCTTCTTTGGATTTTACTTCATGTGCTGAATCTTTAACATGGGTTTCACCTAAACATATTTGCTATGTCTACCTACCTAATTTCACGTATGTGGTACAAAGAGAATTTATAAAATTTAATATGATTAATTGAGTACATGTTATTCAGTATCAATATATAATAAATAAACATGATTACTTAAAGAAAAAAAATATACACTCAGTTAATTATTATAATTGAATTTAAAAATAATGTTATTGGTTAAAAAAAAACTTGGTAAAAGTATTAAAAATAAGACAACATTTTTCCCACATAATTATATTATTTCTTTTCACATTGTTGTATTGTTACTTTCGTCGCATGTGAATCTGTATTTTTTTTCAAACATAATTAAGAGTTCAACACTGAAATTGTAATTGTGCAATCTGTTTACCGAACACTCATTTAAAATTCTCAATTCTTCACAGGAACACATACTAATTATAAAATATATGCCCGTTTTTGCAGACGTTCATTTTATTTTGTTTTAATTGTTGTTCTTAAAGTCATGAGTGCAAGACGAACCTAAAATTTTCTATATTTCAACACAGTTTGATGAAAGTTTAATTTGGTGAAGTTTGGGTCATATATATATATATATATATATATATATATATATATATATATATATATATATATTAAATGCTCCAATAAATATATAAAACTTTAATTTGAGAATTGAGACTTCCCAGCTAATACATTTAAATGCTAATTGGCTTAAATTACAAGATATTACCCAGAAAAAAACTAGGTTTTAAAATAAATTATACATGCATTGTTTAAATTGAAAATTATGTGAGTACTATATTGTAAAAATTAATCAAGTGAGATTGTAAAAATAATTTTTATTATTATTATTATTATTATTATTATTATTATTATTATTATTATTATTATATATATATTAATTTGATAAATAATTTTTTCTGTTATGGCCATTAATTGAATATGAAAAAAATATAGAAGTATTTGGATAAAATCCAACAAACCTAGTCGAGTGAAATATTTTTCTAAGTCTATGTATTTCAATAAATCTATACAATAATTTATTAGGTTCAATTACTAAGTAGTTATATCAATAAGTTACTGCATAGGATATTTTATGAATAATTCAGATTAGTAAAAGGAGTTATTTTGAAATTTATTCTCCTTAAAAGTTGATGTCTATAACATTTATTTTGTTTGTGATTGTGTTGTGCAAGACTGTCTCAGTGTAGTAGCACCATAGAAAGACCTGTTATTGCCAGGAGAAATGAGTACATGAAGCCATTGGAAGACGTATTTGTCCTTCGCCTAGTGAAATCATGAAAGATAATCTATTAAATCATCGTTCATCTTGAATATTTTTATGGCCATTAAAATTTGAATACCTTTAAAAACAGAAACAATGGTTACGTTAAATGACGTAAGACTTTATACCACTACCGATAATAAACTCAAGAATATTAGTTCCTTCGTTTAAAAAACCATGGAATAAGTTTTTCGTATCCAAGGTCGCCGCGTTCGAATGCAAAGGTGTGTCGTGGAATAGAATATCATCTTTTTGACAAAGGCTCTAATAAGGGATCATATTTGAAAGTGTGTCACATTTGCTTTTTGAGTGCAGAACCTTCTCCCAAGTATGGATGCTACTATGACTAAAGTGGCATGCACTACTGCAGAAGGAGCATTCAACGTCGGGTGTAGAAGGCTTTCAACGTCGGGTGTAGAAGGCTTTCAACGTCGGTTCCAATGACGTCGTCGAATCAGGCGTCGTTGAATGTCAAAGGATTCTACGTCGGTTCATCATACCCGACGTTGAAAGTGGTAGACATCTACGTCGGTTATTGAACTAACCGACGTTGAAGTCGCTCAAGCGACCCATGTACTCGCTTGAGCGACGAAGCCTTCAAACCAAAGGGACCCTCGGTTGCTGTTTCGCTCAAGCGACCGAGTTTTCGCTCAAGCGACCGATGTCACAACGTCGGTTAATGCAAAGGCGACGTAGAAATGAGTAAATTCTACGTCGCTTATTGGATAACCGACGTTGAAAGTCCTTTATCGCTCAAGCGACCGGTGTACTCGCTTGAGCGACGAAGCCTTCAAACAAAGGGGCGCTCGGGTCGCTGTTTCGCTCACGCGACCGACGTTTCGCTCAAGCGAAAGACGTTTCAATGTCGGTTAATGCAATAACCGACGTAGAATATCCATTTTTTTTTAAATTTTGGTCTGTTTTTGTGCTACCATACACGACCTGCTATATAAATCTCGGTCAGCCAGATTTACACAATACATAATATATACACAATACACAATCTCAGCCGAATTCACATAATCACTATATATTTACACAATACACTTACAATCTCAGTCCAGCCACATTATGTACATAATACACAAAAATTATCAATCAATCCTATTATTCCTAACTACTTGCACAAACCTTTACGCCCATTTGTTTCTAACCATGTCTATTGTATCCATAGGCAAAGGTTCTATATCTTTAAATGCACTGTAAGAAGTTCACAATAATAGAATGGTAAACCCTAAGCAATAAAAATAAAGGAATTGAATATAATAGCAAATGTCAACTTACCTCGTCCCAACTATCCCGAATGCAACCAAAAATGATGAGCCATATCCAATACATTACATAGTAGCCGCACTCGTAGCCTCCATTTTGTTTGTTACACTAAAAATGAGTATATATATTAAAAATAACTATTAAATTTGAACGTAAATTAATAGATAGTATAATATATATAAAGGCTACTTACTTTCATAAAATTCCAATTTGGAGTTGTGCTTTTACTTGTGTGTTTTCCATCTAATGTACTACAAACCTTTAAAGCACTATATATTGAAAATAAGGGGATTAGAAATAGAATAATCAAGATGTTTAGACATAATATAATAAATACTTACTCGTTTACAATATTTTTTAGCTCCATGTCCGGTTTTCTTCCCAATGAGCGAGAACCAACACACAAGATTCTGCTTTGGACAAATAACTAATAGTTGCCAGTGGTTTACGTATATACACATGATTAGAATCTATTAAAAAAACTTGTGTAAAACCGGAAGAGGCTCGGGATAACTTACGAATGATGGTATGCTCCAAGGTAAATATCTCTTTTAGAGACAGTCATCCAATTCTGGATATAACTGACAATTTGATCACGCTTATTCCCAGACTTTTGTATGGATTGAGGCTCGAAGAATCCATACACGTGACCAATGCCCTGATCCACTATCATTTCGTGCATCATCCTAAAATATGCCAATTTAAGTGAAATTATAGCTTATATATTTACTAAAATGAAAAGAGTCATGAAAGATATGAACTTACAATGTCCAAAATTGTAAAACAGCTATATTTAGACATTGATTGCCCATCCCAATCTCCAGGGCATCGAGTGTGGGAAATATAGAGGGGATATTGCTAGAAGCCATCCCAAATAATGTACAATCCCATGGAACTTGGAATGACTGCATATATAATTGTGGGGAAAGAGACAAGAGATCAAAAATGGGATTTGGAGAAGTCTCCACAACTGGTGTCTTCTCCTTAGATGCGAAGGAGTGGCAATAGCTTTACCCAAGTCTTTTGGCTGCCGAACATCCTACATATTTTATAAAATATAATCATAAACAATAAATCAATTTATTTATGTGTTAGATGTATTATAACCATACATATACATACCTTTGTCATGATTGACCTAACTAAATGTCGGGGCCAACTAATGAAGGTCTGAAGGGCTTGGCCCACTGTCTGCACCTCTTCAGTAGGGATAGGGACACTAGCCGCAGCGTCAACCACATTTTCAACCACTACTTTGACCAAGTTAGGATCCAAAGGCACATTGTGGATGGTTGAAGCCCCTTCATGAACTGATCCATGGGCCACTAGCCTTAGACCTTCATCTACCTCAACCCACAAGCCATATCGATCATCCTTTGTGGATTCAGGATGAATAGATGCCACCTCAGGTGTGACCTCGATAGTGGCTTCAGCACAACTGCCCTTTGTGCTAACTCTTGGACCTACAAATACAGTAAATTCCAATAAGGACTAAGATTTTAGAAACACAAGTCAAGTACCAATCCAATTTGTGGTTGAAAATGCACCTGATGGAGGATGAGCATCAGGAAATGAAGTACCCATGGAGGACATACGCAGACAGCTGCTCCTGCACACGTGCGGTGATCGTCTCCTCAAGTCGTGCGGCGATGGCGAGAGTCAACTCTTCCTCCAATTTTGCCCCGATGGCTGGTGTCAATTTCTCTGTGAGAGTCATCTCCAAGGCAGCAATATCTTCTTGGCTCGGGGATGTGGAGGTGCGGATATCCTATGATGGTGGTCCAAAATAATGTCGGACACCCACACCTTGGCCAACGGCTCGAACACGACCTGGATGTTACGGTCGTCCAATAGCAGTGGTCAAGATATCCTGACGACCAGAAGGGATGAAAGTTCCCTGTGTACACTACTCCTCCAAGGCATCCTACATTATAAAAGTTAATTTTATTAATGAACATGTTACATATAACTAATTCAAACTAAATTAACTTCTTTTACTTACAATCCGAGCAGCAATTTCTCGGGCTTCAGGCGACGTCATGTCACCAGAAGGCTTTGTGCGCGCCCTCTTCCACTTCTGGTGACGTTTTGGAGGAGATGGTGGAGGAATCTGCTCTTCGCTTAAACCAGAAGAGGCTAACTTCGACTGTCGAAGTCTACTCTTCTCCTCCATCATCTTCTGAGTCAATAAGTCGTACCCCCCACGAGACAGAAGGTGGGGGGTGACATTCTTCCTCTGAATGTCTTTTGCTTTTTGTCTTCTTTCCTGCAACATAATTGAACACAATATTAGATACACAACTCATTATGAAATATTCAAGTCAATTAAGCCATAAGCTATTACCTCCCACTCTGAACCAGTCCTACTATGTACAAACTTCTTCCAAGTGTCCTCATCTATGCCATATCTTTGGCAAGGGGTTAATCCCTTGCTAACTTTGTCCTCAGCATACACCCATTTAGTGGTCAATGTGGACTTGAACTGTCTCCACATTTTTGCTATGGCTGTCATTATCTTCCTCCTCACATCCTCAGAATTAACTAAATCAAAGTGTTCCTACAGTAGCAAACAAGTTTTAGTTAATCAATTGATAATAATGTATAAACAATATAAACAACTAAATACACATACTTACAAGAAGATCTTGCCATAACAAGTTCTTCACAGTTTCCTCCACATGATCCCAAGTAGGATGGAGAATAGATATCTACACAACATAAACAACATAAATATCAACAATATATTTGAAATGAAATTAACTTTGAAATAGAATAAATACCTTCTCTCTAGCTAGTGTACCCAAGTAGCTTCTAAATTGGGTACTGAAGGGACCTGACATATTTGCGCTTCATGCATAACCATGGTGGAAGATTGTAAATCATCAATAAAACGGGCCATGAACTATGGTTACTACTTAAATTTCCAAAAGGATTCATCCCATCTGTTGCTAATCCAAGTCTAAGGTTTCTTGCATCACTACCAAAACTTGGAAATAGACGGTCAAAATTTTTCCATTGGGGAGAGTCAGATGGATGCCGCATTTGCCCATCACATGTTTTTCTCTTTGAATGCCAAATTAAATTTTCAGCATCTTCGTGAGCGTACAACCGCCTAAATCTTGGAATAATTGGAAGATACCATAAAACTTTTGCAGGAGGACGTTTTTTACCACTCTCCTGACTACAATCATCACCATCCTTCGCTTTGTAACGTGATACACCACATGTTGGACATTGGTCTAAAGATGAGAATTCTTTCCTATATAACACACAATCATTAGGGCAAGCATGTATCTTCCTATATTCTAAACCCATCGGACATAGTATCTTCTTCGCTTCATACATACGGTCCGGTAAGGTGTTATTGTCTGGGAGCATCTCCTTCAAAAGTTGGAGTAATTCATTAAAACTTGTATCACTCCAACCAAATTTGGCTTTTAGATTGACCAATCTTAACACAGATGACAACCGTGTGAAAGTTGTACATCCGGGATACAAAGGTGTCTCTGAATCGGTCCTCAATGTATCATATATAGATGCATGTGCTTCAAGAAACCTCTCTTGACCCACATCACAAAGCATGTCCTCTATTCGATCTTCGCGAGGTTACATCATCCTCAATAGTTTGTGATACTGTTGGAATATGAACCACTTCACCGTGCCATGTCCATATTGTGTAATTCTTCATCATCCCATCGCAAATAAGATGCTCCAGCGTTGTGTCCATCTCTTGTACTCTGCCATT